TAGTCGGTTCAGAAAGTGGACGTTTGCAGTCTTGGGGGTACGGCCGCGGCCGCCAATCCGTCCCTTCACGGCCGTGGGTGTTTTCGCCAATGCGACACGGTCTGGGACTCCAGCTGGCCGAGCGGTGCACGAACGCGAAAGCCGGCTCCATGGGACACGAACAGGTGGCCGGTTGTCATTCAGAAACGCATGGAAAAGTCCGGTTTGGGATCAGTTTCTATTCGGTCAGTAAAAGTGGACGTTGGCAGTCTGGAATACAGGGCCCGCGGTCCCGAAAGACAATCCTTCCTTCACTCCATGTTTTTTAGCCCTGCGACACGTCCTTGGACTCCAGCTTGGACCGATCCGGGGCAGAAACGAAATCCGGCTCCATGAGGACACGAGCAGGGTGGCAGGTTGGCAGTGCAGAAACGCAGGAAAAGTCAAGGTTTGGAGCTAGTTTCTAGTCGGTTCAGAAAGTGACGGCAGTCTGGGATACGGGCCGTGGGCCCAATCCATCCTTCACTGCCGTGGTGTTTTAGCCATGCGACACGGTCCTTGGACTCCAGCTTGGACCGAAGCGGTGCAGAACGAAAGCCGGCTCCAGGAGGACACGACAGGGTGGCAGTTTGCAGTGCAGAAACGCAGGAAAAGTCAAGGTTTGGAGCTAGTTTCTAGTCGGTTCAGAAAGTGACGTTTGGCAGTCTGGGATACGGGCCGCGGGCCCAATCCGTCCTTCACTGCCATGGTGTTTTAGCCCTGCGACACGGTCCTTGGACTCCAGCGTGGACCGAAGCGGTGCAGAACGAAAGCCGGCTCCAGGAGGACACGAGCAGGGTGGCAGTTGGCAGTGCAGAAACGCAGGAAAAGTCAAGGTTTGGAGCTAGTTTCTAGTCGGTTCAGAAAGTGACTTTTGGCAGTCTGGGATACGGGCCGCGGGCCCAATCCGTCCTTCACTGCCATGGTGTTTTAGCCCTGCGACACGGTCCTTGGACTCCAGCTTGGACCGAAGCGGTGCAGAACGAAAGCCGGCTCCAGGAGGGGGGCAGTTGGCAGTGCAGAAACGCAGGAAAAGTCAAGGTTTGGAGCTAGTTCCTAGTCGGTTCAGAAAGTGACGTTTGGCAGTCTGGGATACGGGCCGCGGGCCCAATCCGTCCTTCACTGCCACGGTCCTTGGACTCCAGCTTGGACCGAAGCGGTGCAGAACGAAAGCCGGCTCCAGGAGGACACGAGCAGGGTGGCAGTTGGCAGTGCAGAAACGCAGGAAAAGTCAAGGTTTGGTCTGGGATACTGGCCGCGGGCCCAATCCGTCCTTCACTGCCATGGTGTTTCAGCCCTGCGACACGGTCCTTGGACTCCAGCTTGGACCGAAGTGGTGCAGAACGAAAGGCGGCTCCAGGAGGACACGAGCAGGGTGGCAGTTGGCAGTGCAGAAACGCAGGAAAAGTCAAGGTTTGGAGCTAGTTTCTAGTCGGTTCAGAAAGTGACGTTTGGCAGTCTGGGATACGGGCCGCGGGCCCAATCCGTCCTTCACTGCCATGGTGTTTTAGCCCTGCGACACGGTCCTTGGACTCCAGCTTGGATCGAAGCGGTGCAGAACGAAAGCCGGCTCCAGGAGGACACGAGCAGGGTGGCAGTTGGCAGTGCAGTGTCGTCTCGGGTCTCTTTAGGATGCCATTTAAAGTTTCATACTGCGGTTACGAACGGGGGCTTCGGGTATGGGTCTTAAGTGCTAGAGCAACCCTTTAGGTCCCCAAGACACCTGGCCAATGACGAAAGCTCCTATTTCTTGAGCCATGAAAAAGTGTCAGAGCACATAGTTGTGCGTGTCATCCTGCAGGGGTCCATGCTGCTTGCATGTGCACAGTGCCAAACGCACATACAAATGGTTTGTTTAGGTCAGTTTCTGGTTTCTTTAGGGTTCATTTCATGCTTACGACACAGAGGCAGGCATGACCCTCCAGTGTCCAGGGGTCGGCGGCAGAGGGCGTAGCCCTTTAATTTTACGGTAGGATCATTTTGTTCAGCTCCAAATTCCCAATCATTCCCACCTTTCCCATCACCCCACCTTTCCGCAGAGTTATCCCACGGAAGTATTCCAGCACCAACCTTGGGTCAAGACACGAAAGGACACAATGTGCCAGCTGTGCCAGCACGATTCTTGCAATCTGTGGACCCATGAGAACCCAATGATCAGCTCAGGCCTTACCAGAAATGGTGGAGGCTTCACAACCACATGTCAGTGGGTCAAACCTAAACCCACCAAAGTTCGGGCCACCCTGACAACCTGCGGTGTGCAAATTGCTGCCCAGATGCGATGGCGGCCAATAATGACACCAAAAGCCAGAAGAAAGGGGCCTCTCCATGGATGGTTAATAAATATTACTATTGACAAATGAACAAAAATGAATAAATTCTACCGGTGGGTATCTAATTTTGACCATACCCAAATTGACTTTTGAAAGTACTATAGATTTGTGATTCTTTGGGCACTTGCCGAGTGAGGAGATCTGGGCACAGCATGCTCATAATCACAAAAGGTAGCGTTGTTCGCACAGTACAAGCCTGGAGATTGCCAAACATCAGCCTCAGCTAGATCTTCAAAAGCTAAGACTTCCAATTCATTGAACTCAAGGAAGAGCCATTCAGTTCCAGAAACAGCTGCCAGAAGTCTGGAAGAATTGTGAGGTTGGGGCACCTTCAATGGCCTTGCATTTACTTATTTCTCATAGCACCAAAAGATTGAGGACAGCCTAGCAGTAAAGGATTGCGATGACGCTCCTGAGACTGCAGCGCCATCAAGGTCCGTGCAGGGCTTACATTCTGGGGTCAAAGTGTAGGTAACCATACAATTCACCATCAGTCGCCATGGAAGAAATGCCGCAACATTATTCTTGAAGAAAAATCCTGGCATATGTTTGACTTCCTCGTTGCTGCATTTTGTTCCCTAAAAATGATCTATGACAAGTCTAACTGCTTTTGCAGCCAGCCAGAGATGAGCCAGGACTTTGGAAGGAATCTTAATTTCAGGCACAGGCCCCAGCAATCAAACTGCTAGCTAATGCAGATTTCAAGAAGCGGCCAGAGCTCAAAAAACACAGGCTCGGAAAATCAGATCCTTATTTTCCGCAGACCTGATCAATGTCCCGTTGGCCCATACGGATCTAACAATCCCTTTGTCAGGGAGTTGCTGCCTGAACCCGGCACAATGTGACACAATGCCTTGTAACACACAACTAAGGTCTCTTTGTTGAACTGGTCAGCAATGGACAGGTCTTGCAATTGTTTCATGCCATGGTCCTATTGAGCAACAAGACTCCTCCATAAGAAAGCCTCGAATAAGCCTTGAGACTCCTGCTACTTGTACAAGTTGCAGTCGGCTTCACATGACTGCAAGATAATTGAATTGATGCAAACAGCGCAGGCACCTCGCCCGAAGAGTGCTGGCCCTCTTTTCAGACACTGCTCTGCGCTTCAGCCGAATTCAAACATGGAATGTGATATGATCATGCACAGGTCGATCATCTTGGGAGTCAGCGTAGGCGGCCTGTGGTCATTAAGTGACCGGCTTGTCACAGTGGACAACTCGTTCAGAGAATGAGAATAAGCCGAAAATAAACAGGATTGTCCTCCATAAAAACAAGTCTTGTGTTCAACCGAGCAGCTGCTCACCACTTGCGAGGGCGCTTTGTTGGTAATGCGACCTCGTTAGGTGCACACATGCCTGCCACGATATATTCTCTTCAAACTACGATTCCGCATTTGTATTATTCCACACACCCATCTCGACTCCTGAATTCCCTTCCCACCCACACAGCATTGCCACGTTTATCAAGGCTTCGCAGCTCCACTGGGCCAAGGTGCAGTTCCAACTTCAGCATTCCGTCGCTTGGGAACACAATCCGATGCCGAAGGCAAAACCTCCGCAGTTCGCATTGAAGATTGATTGGTAGTTCAGCCCCCAATTCCAAAAAAATCTTATCAGTTTTGATATGCTTTGACTCAACACTTCATGATGGAATTGGCAAAGAGCCCATGCCCAAAAGCTGATGACCTTAGCCCATGCCTACCATGAAGAATTCTGAAGAATTCTGAAGAATTCTGAAGAATGGGGTAAGGGGAAATCGCCTCCTCCAACATAATGTTGGAAGATGCTGGAAGTTGGAAAACAAAAAGCCTCGCTCACCCATCTTGCCTCGTTGGTCAATGCCTTGGTTTTGGCATCCTTTTGAGATGAACTCAAAGGTAATGCTAGCTGCCGCTGTCCTGGGGGGATCTGGGGGGTTCAGAAGCTCGCGGTTGAAACCGTTGGTCGCAATGACTTCTCATAACTTGGAAAAATCATCGAAGAACTGTAGCAGAGACTGTATCTTGCAAGCATTCCCTCCCCCAAGACCCAATACCTCCCAATTTCCAATAAAGGACCCCAAAATCATAGATTCACCAGGGATCACCAGGTTTTCTATGGGTTGAAAAAAAAAAATCCATCAGCGATCCACCTTTGACTGGCGCAGTGGCTCCATGCTGCAAAAGAATTTGCTGGGCACCTCAGCTGGCTAGGATGAACTACCGCATGGCAGTCAAAGGGATTGCAATCGATAACACTGAGCGACTGGCGGCGCACTTCCACCTTCCTGCAAAAAATGTGAGTTCCGGACGTCTACTCTTTGGCATGGTAAGAATAAAAAATCAGAGAAGGCTTTCATACAGTGCACTAATCTGTGAACTTGCGATCACAGTGCACAGCCAGAAGTGCCAACACCAAACATCCGCGGCCTGATATCCTCTGTCTGGAAGGCTGCAAGCAAAGTCCGGCCGTGCCTTGGCCAGCAAAAACTGTCTTCAATACTACTGTAAGATGTTTACATTTGGCTGCAACTGCCCAGTTGACTAATTGCAGGCACGTGACTCCCGTTGAAAAGGCACCTCGCACGCCAAGACTTCCCGAACAAAATGATCCTGCATAATCATTGCAAATAGCGCGATGAAGTGTTGCTCAAGTCTAGCTGTGCATGCATCAGGGCAAGAACTCTTCAAAACTTTAGCGGAACTACACAACATATTTCCGCAGGGGGTCCTGATTGTATTGCCACTCCTGGCATAGAGGCTCCATCTTGTCTTCATCCTTCCAGTTTTGACAAAATGGTTGTATGGCTGGGGTGTCAAGCCGTACTTTTTCCGCTATCACCTCCCACGAACTCTAGCAATGATTGATACCACTGGCAATAACTAAACCACTTCAAAGATCAGATGACTATCAACAGGAACAGAGATGTCAGGACAAACACGATAGTAACGGCCACTACCAGTCACTACCCTATCCAGTCCCGCTGCTACCAAAATGAAGAAAGTTTGGCAGCTGCTCCTGCGCCCCGCGCGTTCGTTGAGCTGTCTTCACAAAGCGGGCCAGGGAAACTAGCCAGATGCGAGCGGCATACCTGCAAGACCAGTCAATTTGTGCTGCCACGAACCAAGAAGGTCGCCATAATCATACAGCGTCAAAGCAACTAAACAATGAGTTGTTGCCTCCAATGCAGCCAAGATGCACACCAGTAGCCCATTTTTTCAAAGTCAATGTGCCTTTAGCAGCTGCTTCCAGACATAGGAAGCCTTCGTGTTGCGAAACCACATCCCCTTGTGTGGGATTCAAAGGATTCAAAAACATTGCAAGAACTATATTCACATTTCACAATTGAAAGATTTGAGTGCTGCTAAGTGTCAGTAGCACATATCCGGAGCATTCAGTGCGTACCTGTCAAATTGAATGACCAAGGATGAACTTTTTCTGCACTTGCTAACTGCTTGAAAACTGAAGGCTCGTCAACCGGTTGGCCATGGATTGCGAATTCCCAACATATGAAAAGTTGTTCACATTCCAGTATCCAGCCGAGGGACGCGTCAGTCACTGCACGAAGATTGCCGAGATGATATTGCAGGTCGCCATTGAACCTTCGGATCAACAATTCAACATTTGATGATGTGCATTATTTAAGGAATTGCAAGAATTAATCAATCATACAATGCAAAATACATGGGGCGTTTCCTGAAGTACGCAAACAAAAAAATACTGTAGATTGGTTGTTTTTCAATCCAAGCAACCACAATGCGAAGTGAGCTGCATATCCCTTCTGGAGGTCTTCCATCGAGACCACTTCTTGTGCAACCCTACTTCTATTTGGCATTTTGACTGCCACTGGACTCAAATCCAAGGGTGTGGTTTCCTTCCTAGCTCGAGGAGGGGGCGATTGAATTTCCTCTTCGATTGCACACTCTCCAGTTTGCTTGTTCAACCAATCCCGGCCAAAATCCTTGTACTGGTATTTGTTGACTCCAGCATTTGCATGGGACGACAGCATCTGACCATTCCAAGCAAGCTCTTGACACATCGGAGCTCTGCCCACAACGTCAGCACGTTGAACTAAATCACGTGCTGCAGAACCATCTGTCCATGCATTCATGGGACGGTTCCGCACATCCCACGTCATGCTCGGAGGTACAGGTCCATCGTTTGGTTCAATTAGCCACATTACGCCATTCCAGCAAAAATATGCAAGAACAGCTGCAGCCACCATCCCCATAATGGTGGCGAATGTCAGAGCCAAAGTGGCTAGAACCAGCGCCATTGCACAAGTTGTTGGATGCAAGCAGGGAAGTTGCACTCGTGAGATGTCGTAAGTGTCAAGAGTGTCATTCAAAGTTGGGCATGTTTTTCTGTTTGGCGCTTACATTTCCTATGGACAAAGAATTCATTGTAATTGTTGTTTGATGTTATTTGTTTGTCTAACATGGGGGATCATCAACAGTGGATCCAGCCATGTTTTTTGGATTCAACCACCTTGCTGCTTGGGCCCGCGCTGCAATGAAACAAATTCGGTCACGATTCAACAGCAAACATTTGACACCCGCCATCATCTAAAACCAAATTGTTGCATTATTTTTTGCACATGTAAATGTTTTGACGTTTGAGACATTTACGCAATGTGTGTTATTTTTTGTTTTTTCCCACTTGTGACCCCCATGAACCCCGCTTGAATTGAGCATGCATCACTACAAATCAACGCGTTTTTCATTTATGCCATGTCCCGTTTTACATTTAAAAAAAAATCGTTCAGTTCACACAATGGTTTCCGTTGCTTCAACTTCCCACTCGTAGATCAGGTATTAATCATACATCCAACACAAGAGCTGCCGCAAGACGTGCATATTTTTTTTAAAGGCGTGGTGCAAAAGATTAGGTCCATAATCGTACACAATTTCTAGAACCAGCGGGTCCGTTATTTACAGAGTGGCCTTGATCTCAATGAAAGACACCCCCTCCCTAAATCGACCGAACAACCCTGAATGACGGGGCCAGTTAGGGTCGAAACATAAGAGGTGGGGGGTTCCCAAAGCACCACTTCAACCGCCACAGAACGGTGGAGCATAGGGGATGGTGGAGGGAAAAAACGAAATCAAGGTGGGAAACTTGAAGCAAAATGGCAACGGACCGAAGGTGAACTTCCGGGTTTTTTCTGCAAACACATATGTACAAGTACATGACACGTTCACACAATGGTTTCCGTTGCTTCAACTTCCCAACTCTAGACCAAATACTAAATCATACATCCAAAACAAGAGCTGCCGCAAGAGGTGCATATTTCCTTTTAACGCCTGGTGCAAAAGATTAAGGCCATAACTGTACACAACTTCTAAAACCAGCGGGTCCATTATGTACAGGGCGACCTTGATCTCAATGAAAGACACCCCCTCCCTAAATCGACCAAACAACCCTAAATGAGGGGGTCAGTTAGACTCGAAACATAAGAGGTGGGGAGTTCCTAAAGCACCAAACCTTAATCGGAAATCGACCAGCCTGACTGTCAACTCCCCAAAAACTAATCGATTGAACCCCACAGTCAGCGGACTGCCGCAGCTCTTTGTGACAACGCTGGATATCAAAATGCGGAGGCCACTTTCGACCATGTTGGGCCACAAACACGCCAGGAAGTCGAAGAAGTTCTGGCCAAGGAATGTCAGGAAATCCCATGGGGTCCAGGTCCACTGACAGCGGATGTCTGAAACGACTCAGCTCGTCAGCCAGTATATTCAAGTGACCAGGGATTTGAGAAATGCTTGGGAAGAACTGAAATCGTCGCATGAAGGTGAAGTACGGAGCCAGGGCAACGGCTAATGCCTGTTCACCAGTTAGTTTTCCGTTGCTCAAGTTGTGGGTGAGAAGGGAAATATAAAATCCAGAGACCGATACAAAACCAGAGACGAAGTTAAAATAAGGCCGATATAAAATTCCTCATCAGAAACACACACCGCAGTTTTTTGCGTGGCGAAAAGTTTAGTCAAATGCACTAAACAAAAAACAGGTCTGAAAGTACAGCGGTACGAGTAAGCCATGTACATACGATAGCGGATAGCGTTATGAAAACCAAATGGGTAGTCACAACGAAATAACGGCAGGGGGTTTTGCAACCCACATGCTCACAGTTTCGTAGAGATACCAATGGTAAACATAACGGGTGAGACAAACAAGCAGAGGATCAATGGACCCAAAGAACCAAATCTACAGCGGTAGAGTGGTGAGAAAACATGAACGCGGTCACGCCAACAGGGAAAAAAGGCAGGCTGGATAGGGATGGTGGTGGAAACAGGAGAAAGGAAGGTAGAACGGCGGTCTACTCAAAACACCACAACTTGACCCAAAATGGCAGCCCGAAACAATATCACCCTTTGCGAAACAATACAAAAGGGACAAACCCAAGAAAACCAAAACAAGTTTTGGTTTAAAACGATGTTTTGCAAAAAAAACGAGGCGGGTTTCTTACAAGTGAACAACACCGATCAAGCTCGCGTACATAGGCATGGTCAGCCAATTGGATGATGCTGCATCTGCCGCTGTTGCCAGTGGCCTGATTGCACGAAATCGGTCCACGAGACTTTGGCAGGCGAGACTCAACGCAATACGACAGCGCATACTGTGCAAAAAGCTCCCAAGCCGCGATGTGTTTTTTTTGCATATCGTCACCAATTGTAGACTGCGCACCAAACAGGTGAATCCGAAATTGAAACCAGACCAGACCGGTCAGGGAAAACTGCAGCACTCCCCGAACCTGCCATGTCCTTTGACGCCATGGCATCGGCCGTAGCGTTGAGTGGAACGTGAGTTGGGGACACATAGACAATGAAAATGGCGTGGACACCATCTATGATCACGTCGAGATTTGATGTGCAGAGATCGCACTTCATCCCAGTGACCAGTGAGATACCCGGCAACAAGCTGTTGGTCAACTGCAGTTGATCGTTCAAGGTCGTGACAAAGACCTGAAATGTCGTGTAATCCATGCACACCATGGTTGTAGGGATGCGATGCAGGGCCTTATAGAGCGGAATCAAGCATGGGCGCAGAGGTTAGCCAAAGCAGCCGTCCAATGCGGGACTGGAGCACGGATAATGGCAGTTTGCAATGACATCTCTCTTTCTCAAAGGAGTAGCCATGAATGCTGCAGTCACGGAGTCAGTCCACAAAAGGATTGGACAGACCACATCCAAACTATCGTCCTTGGAAGACGACTGTGGGACACCTGAATGCACGCAGGACAAAACTCAAACTTCTCAGCAAACCGATGGCTTCCTGGACAGCTGCTTGAATGGCAACGAGTTCCGCCTCACATGAACTCAATGTCACACAGATGCCTGATGTCGAGAAAACACTTTAAAACGACACGTCGAAAAACAATCACACAACCAGTATGCTTCTCCTCTGAGCAGCTTGCATAGGGGCAAATCCAGCATCACTTTGCACTTCCAGACCGATGTTCTTCTCAGAAAGGTCCTCAAGTCCAGGTGAGGGGAATTTCTGGGACATCTCAATGTGCAACAATATGAATCGAAGCACAGCCCTCAAGGCTTTCTCCTGGCCTAACTTTGAACAAGATTGTCCAGCTGATAGCATTGCAATCAGGATCAAGATATCCTGCCTGGTTTTTTGAGCCAGCTATGACAAACGTCCAAGAACTCTCCGGAACTGGAGCGCGCCTCAGCCCTAATGGACTCTTCTGACTCCGGATTCTCCACAGGAACTGTAAATCTGAACACCACAAGCCGCTTTTGAAGCATCTATAAATCTCCGAGCGTCACACCGGCTTTCGGTGTGTAGATAGTCCAATCTTCCAGTGAAGAAAAAAGAGGAGCTGCAGCAATCACAGCTGAGAGACAAAGATCGCGTTGTCTTGGTGGAGGCTTCAGGTTGGGCTTGCCACTGTGATGGGCGCTGTCTTTCTGCTGCAAGAGCGCTGTTTGATTTCCAACCACATTGATGAGAAAGAGTTCACTACTGCAATTTTTTCAGCTTTGTTCCATGGACGGGGCAAGCAACGAAAGATAGCTTTGTTGGGTTCCTGTGTGGTTGGCACCATCGGCTTCCGCCTTTCCACTGCTCCATGTGGAGGCGTCAAATAAAAGTATCCAGCCGCGCTTCAACCTTTAAGATGGCCGTACGGGGTTCTCAAGTGCTGCGCCCGTCACGCAAAAAATTGAATCTCTCCAATAATCGTGCAAACAAAGAGCCCAACTAAACCCACCGCGCTGTGGCGAGAACACAATTTTGGTGTTGCGGGCCAGACGGTTTAGTACCCTACTAAACGCTCCGCGCTGTGGCGTGAGATCCATTTTGGCCGGTCAGCTCACATTCTAAGAAAGATTTTTTTTAGTAGGGTTTTTTTAATCAAATTGAACCAACTATACGCTACACGCTGGCCATGTTTTTCCGCAAATTTCCACGGTTTTCAGGGTATAGTAGGCCAAGTTCATCAACTATACGCTCCGCGCTGTGGGAAAACGCGCATCGTAGCTTGGCGGCTTTAGGGGTGCTTTTAGCAACCGCTGGCGGCGCTTTGCTACCGACTTCTGTTCTGTCTTGTTCTCCGCGATGGCCTCAAGAGGGCCAACATCAGAAAACAGTGACATGGAGAATGCCAACAAACCTGCTTCATCATGGCCCCTAAAACAGGGCCCAAAAAAGTGGTCAAAACATGGCTGCGATAAAGGGACCTTGACAGTAGCAACCGGACTTGGGACGCACAAAGAGAAAAAGGTATGAGTTGACATTCATGTTCAAGCTGCAGGGTCGCAAATCTGCTTGCACAACATGTGCGGGCAGCAGCGAAATTCTCCGATGGCTGGCCCCATTTTTGGGTCCAAATATGGACCCCAAAATGGGGTCCAGAATTGGATCACATTTTCATTCCTTCTTTTAGGTCTTTGCTTGGGCCCCGTTTTGGGATCCAGATTTGGACCCAAAAGTGGGGTCAGCCATTGGAGAATTTTGCTGCTGCCCGCAGAGGTTTTGCAAGCAGATTTGCGACGCACCAGCATGAGCGTAAGTGTTAATACATGTTTTTTCTCTCTCTGCGTCCCACTTTGTTTCTTGTACAGTACTGATGTGGATAACCTCCTGTAATCTTCCTCGAGCAGCCATTTCCAGTTGTGAAGCCGAAGTATATGCAGGTACGTCAGCTACAACTTAACAGTTGTAACAGTTTAGACTTTGAAATGGCAACCACAAGCCATAGGCCATAGGCTTAGGGTTGAGGCGGGGTGAATGGATTTAACCGTATCCACATCCAATATATATATAGCAGTGGAAACAGTTGCATGCTTGGCATTTA